GAGTTAACGGAGATTAGCTGGCGATAAAGGCGAAAATAGACGTGAAAGTACGTTGCCGCTCGAAAAAAAGACTGCCGCGACTAAAAATACCTAATATTTCCGTGAAAGGAAGGAGAAATTGCTCCTTTCTAAATTTTTACTTTTACCGTCTTCATTACTTCCGTTGTTTTCTTCGCGAACTTAACTATCGTCGAGTATCGCATTTAACGTTTTCCCTTCTCTCTGACAGTTAACGACCCAATTATTATCCTCAAGTTTGAAACGTCGATCTTTCCCGAGTGCCGAGGAGCTTGCCTTAATGACGCGTGTTCGAGTAACACTAATTACGATCGCTAATTGCTCCGTGTCAGCATATTTACGCGCACGGTTATTGCAGGATGACGGTCGCTCGCGCAATCTTTTAGAACAAGATCGTTACAGATGGCACGATTGACAAGTACTCGACAGTAATATAACGCCAATTAACAAATTAGCAAATGATTTAAGATTCAATTTCTAAGTAACCGTTCGCACCAACGGACACGCACGACGTCGCATATCTACTTCGCGGATCTATGTGGGTAATAATTAGATTTTCTATGTCAAACGTGTACGCGCGTTCAAATAGAAAGTCGAAATCCCGTAAGAGATCCCGGACAAGGACACGCGCAACATGTAGCCGCGATAAGAAAAACGGCTGCTTCAGCATCAAAAAAAAAAAAAAGAAAAAAAAGAGCAACATGACCAAGCGGCAACGGCGGCGCGATGGTTTTACGTTTCACGGAAAATATACAAGAGATTGCAAAGCGGAACATGCGGCACGAGATGCATCTTGCTGTCGGCGAGAATACAATGAAAATACGCCAGAGAGAAGCGTGTTACATGCTCTTCGAGCGAATATCGACAACTCGAAAGTAATTCTGTGCGATCGTCGATACGCGGGAGAAATTAGCTATTAGAATAGAATAGAATATTTTATTTCAGCATTTCATTTCTATTATCAGAAACGGTTCTTGTCATTTGTTAGTTTACGATTATATTCTTATCTATACTCGTTCATCCACCCATTACTACTAATTGATTGTCTAATTTATGATAAATTATTCCTAATACAGAGTATTTATCGAAACCGAAAAAAAAGTTCTCTAAGAATTCCCCGATGTTCGAAGCAATTTGTTAAAAATTTCAAATGAAATAAAAGTGTTTTTATATCTTACAAATAAATATATATTTATTGTTTATAGTTTTTAATTTTTTTATCATTTATAAATCATAAAACAAAATTAACAACAAAATTAAGTTTTAATAATTAAATTTAAAAAAATTTTGAAAAAAATTATAAGGGAAGTGTAAAAAAATAAATATGTTATATTGTATAAAATTTTTAAATTTTACTTTCAAAAATTACAAACAAAAAATTATATAATAATTGTATAACGTAAACAAAATTTAACTTTCATAGAACAATTTCTTCTGATTTTTAGACAAAATATAAAAAAAAAAAAATCCCTAAAAATGATTCCCTGATAAAATTCCAGGTTCTCCAGGTTTTTCCAGGTAACAGACACTATTTTATCTGTGATACTATCTTTATCTTTTCGCTTCTCACTCGCATACCAAACACCTGATACCTAGGAAAATTGGCCATTTATAGAGGACGTCGCGAAATTATTCGTGCTCGTGCTTTGCACCGGCAAGATCCTTTGTTTCCGGGATAGTGACTTTCGTTGGAATTCGATTTAACGGAATGTTAATCAGTTCATTTTCGCCAATTGCGACGCGCCGTGAACGCCGGTCGCCGACGATATTCGGGGCCACGAGTTCCCCTTAGCATGCCGGCCAATCGTTCTATTGGGCGCATGTGCCCTTGATACGCGTTAATAGCGCAACCAGCGGTGACATTCCGTGCCATCGTTGGCGTAGTACTTTTGCCCGGGGAACGAATAAGCTATCCAATTACGATACCCGACGCGAGGCGGCCGGTCTAGACGTCATCGCCATTTCTACGGGGGTTAGAGAGTTGCTCAAAAATAACTGTCCAGCGCGCGGTATCAATGTGAAATCAACGCTCGCTTTTGCCGGAATCGGTGTGTCTGACAGCATCAAAAAAAAAAGAGAAAAAAAATGAAAAAATCATTGGCATCCTTTTGTGATTTGTGACGACACCCGAGGATAAAACGAACCGCTAGCGCTTATATAGGAATAAACCACGGATGAGAAAGGAAGAAAAACGATAGAGAGGAGACCGGGGATATAGGGGTTAGGTATTGCGGGCTCGACGTTATTGCCTGTCGTTAATGTCAGCCGTCAAATATTCCTATAACATTTTTACGAATATTTTCAAGGCTAAGAGTCTCTCCCGACAGACACTTTGCTTATTTCACCTTAGTTAAGGCACACCGAGCGACAACTTTTGCGAATGTCTATGATGTCGTAAACGTCACCGTTACTCACGCGGTCCCACGTTATTTTCCACACAGCCAGATTAATAAGAGGGCGTTTAACAATACGACGTCGGGCGCGAAACAATCGAGAAATTGATCTCAATTCCGATCGTATCGATTCCGATGTCATCTAAAGATCGTCGCGTTAATCTCGCTCTCTCTCTTTCCCTCTTGGAAAAATGATCTGCAATGAAACAGCTCTCTCTTTTTTTTATAAAATGTGAAACGTTTCTCCAAAATAATACATAAAGATCTCTTGTAGCTCGTTCAAGAAACACTGGGTACACGCCGCGTCGCTATCAAACGTTTCTTATCAGAAATCAACTACTAGAACGTTCGATCGATATCCCGCCGTCGCACTGTTCGCCAACTAACTGGCAAATAATCACGAGAAGGACGACGTCCATTGTCAGCCGTATTGCGGAGTACTGCGATTACGCGAGAAGACTTAACAAGATGTTATTCTATCGATCCGTGTCCATTCCTACCGCTGTCTGTTGACGTCTCTTAATTTTCTCTTAATTCCTTTTCCTAATTCCCAAGGAATCTATAATTAGATAAATATAAAAAAATAATTTAAATCGAAATTAAAGTTAAACCTTAACTGATAGAAATGGATACATAAATTATTTTACAATTATATTATCATATCTATTTCTATTAATTTCTATTAATTTTAATCTCGATTTCACTTTCTTTTTATATTTCCTAATACCTTTTATAATTCCTAAAACTATAAAAATAAAAGGCAAACGCTAAACCGAGAATAAAGTTAATCTAGATCGGTACAAGTGGGCGTTAAAAAAAATAAAGAAAATTCGTATCTCTCTCTTATTTTTTCGTTCAAAAGTTAAACTGCTGCCAACGTAATCCTATAAAATACAAATCGCGATATCAAATCGAGCATCAAATCGAAACGCGATTCTGTAATCGCAAAAGCGCTGGACGTCGACGGATCGATTTTCCGGAAGATTGACTGGAGAGGCAAGAAAGGCGGAAGATATCTGTTGTTAATCCTACAGGACGAACTCTCAAGGATGGATGAAGGCGGCGTGACAATCGAGCGAATACCGGATTACAAATAATAACGTTGACGTCATACTTTCTCTCTCTCTCTC